ATTAATTTTGGCCAGCAGTGTACAGTGTATATATCTCAAGAAATTACAGATGAATTTGTTACAGATGTATGACAAAATATTTATTACAAATAAATTACTGGTAAATGTGCAGATTTAAAGTATTCTTTTTCGACTACCATATTTGTACATTATGCACATGCGATCCCCCGACAAAGAGTAGATATAACAGGAGGCGATAGTACGCAACGAAACCCATCTCCTACAGAGAGACAGAGGACACAAGAATCATGGGTGCGCATGTGCATAGTGTAGAAGTATGGCGATCGAAAAAGAACAGTTTAAACCTGTATATTCACCAGTAATTTATTTGTAATAAATATTTTATCATATCTCAGTAACACATTCATCTGTAAATTCTTGTGATATATATAATAGTTTTTCATTTTCTTATAAGTTATTTAAAATGATCATTTCCGTAATACATATTCTTCAAATATATTTTGTAGAGCAATCATTTTGGTATATTCTTTTCTCTTTCAACTTTTCAACGTTGCACAGTGGCGAAAAACGGCGTTTCAACGCAGTAAAATACATAAAAATACTTCAAAAGACAATATTAGTAATATACAGAAAATTTATTACAAATATATTCCAAATTATTAGAGATTGACGTGAAAGTAAATTTACGCGATTTAAATTTTCCGCTCGTTTACACAACCAATTTAAAGGGACGTTTTCGAGGGAACAAAGGTGCCGACAGAAAGTGTCGTCTCTGGTTTATTTTGTGGCCCCGATTTATTTGATTTGAGCATTTAAATTGGTTGTGTCCTCTATCGTTCTCTAGGAGGTGGATTTTCTTGTCTAGTATCGCCTCTTGTTCCATCTCTACTCTTTGCTTGTTGCGTGCAATAGGAATTCCCTAAGAAACCTCCCAAGCGCCCTCTCGTAAGAGAAAATAAAGAACATGAACATTAGTTTAAGTTGGCAATTCGCTGCTGGCGCCACCTAAATTAGTGAAAAGTAGGATGCGGCAACGACGCCATTTGTTCAACGATTGTCGTGTGTTCTGTAACGTGTATAGTAATAAAGAATTGTTATTGTTTATATTCACTATACCGGAAGTACCACAAACAATTTGACTCTGTATGATGCTGCCCTCTTTACCATGAACTTCTTTCGATCATCAATCAAACACTATTATTGTTATATATTTAATTGACAAAGAAACAATCATTTTAAATTTAAAGTTATTCTAAATAATACTATAAAGTTGCATTTGTTTTAAATATTCTTTTTTGTGAAATATGGCCGAAACTGATAATCTTCCAACTGTAGTAAGCAATAAATTATTTCAATTGCATGATTTATTTTCCTACTTAACCTATATTTTTATCGTTTAATATATTTTAAAGTTTGTATAAAATTTATTAATGATCGTCTGCTTTAAATAATTAATCTTTTCGCTATTTGTTATAATAATTGTCATTGTGAATTTATTTTGTACAATCATTTCGTATTTTATTTTATTTTATTTTACTTAATCCTTCGATTTGTGTATAGCGGCATTTTATGTCACATTTTTATCGATTACAGATTTCGATGATATCAAAATATATTTAGTGTATTATTGTAAAGAATATATAATAAGTCAAGCTAACAAGAAAACACACACTGTAGTACTTTTTATTTATGGTTCAGATAAAAACTAGTATTATTAATTATTTTACTACTAATTCTTTATTGATAAGTCGATAAGTTATTTATTTGGTTTGAATTATTCTTAATTTTATTGTTGTTTCCATTTTAAAAATAAACTTTGCTTTTGTTGAATTGCACTATTATGTTTGTGACATAAGATGCTGCAGCACATATTTAATCAAATTTATCTCTTAAAGTATTATTGTACATGAAAATGTGTAAACAAATTTATTTTTTATTTACAGCATATTTCAAATGGTTCCAAAAATGTAGGTATTTGTGGAAGTTGGATAAATAGTAACAAAATCAGTATATATAATAACAGAAGATTAAATAAGAAGCATGATGATAAGTATGACCCAACGATTCATGTTTTAAGACCAGAAGTAATTTTATTTTCACCACAACTACGTAAATTAGTAAACGAAAGTAATGGTGTATTCTTGTCTATTCAAAAAATTAAACAATGTTCTGGAGACCTTAAACCAGAACTTTTGAAACATAGCAAACAATATAGATCCATTTTAAGAGCTTGCATAGAAAGTCTACAAGATATTTGTGGAAAATCAGCAGATAAAAAAGAATCATTAGAAAATTTTCTTACAATTTTCTATCAAATTGAATGTGTATGGCATTTAACAGAAATTCTGTATATAGATGTAGTTCCAGGTAAATTATTTTATTATTATTATATGTATACATAATAGCAGTAATTTTACATGTAGTAACATGTAATAAAACCTAGCAATAAACATACAATAAAAGAATAATACTAATATGAGATATTTTAAATTTTAGGGGACGTGGTCTTACCACAATTGCTAGAGTGGATCAAATTTCATTTTCCAGCTAAAGAACTAATAGCACTTAAAATATTAGCAGAAAAAACAATTAATGCTGATTTAAAACATCCAAATTATTGGGAAGCAGTAATAGGCTGTGCATTACATGGAAGAATAGATTTAGTACGAGCTTTATTAAATTTACACAGTAAATCAGATCATTCAGCCTTTATTATGGCAGAGAATATTCTTCAAACAATGCCTGTATATAATGTATATGGTGGTTATTCTATAAACGAATTTAATGTACGTTGGCATCATTGGCAACTCGAACTATCTTCAAATATAACAAATAAAGCCTTTTTGTTTGATGTTGATACTGACAATAACTTGGAAATGATTATGAAGGTATTAATAACAACTAAATATATGTTAAATATATATTATCAAAAAACATTTGAATTATTAAAAAACATTCAGTGCAGTTAATTGTAGGAGACCAAGATGCATTACAGCACTTTTCAAAATATACAGATGCTTGGTATGAATTATTAGCAGCAAAATTATTTTATACATCCCCATGTTGCAAGAAACCTGAACTTTCGCATCATGCAAACAATATTGCTAAAGGATGGCATACCAATAGGCCTTCTGATAATGCTATACATGCTTTAATAGAAAGTAACTTACATCAACTTATTAAAGAAATCCAATACATGGGTGACAATGGATGGTTTGCTGCTCATTTAGTAGATTTATTGCATACTTGTGGAAAACTGAAAATATTGGACAAGGATCAAATTGAGTAAATTACTGGTTTTTTATTCATGTTCTATAAAATTTATAGAAGAATAAAATTAATTCTTACTTTCCTATTAGGGTTACTAGTCAACTTCATGAATCCCTTATATTAGAATATGGCAATACATTAATGAGTCATCATTCTTTATGGCAATGTGGTGCAAGTTATTTAATGCATTGCCCTACTCAAGGTTTAGCAAGACTAGAAATATTGCTGCAGTCTTTACCAACTGGATCTGAAGCAAGATTAAACAAAATAATAAACATAGCACGCGATAACAAAATGGATCATATAGGTTCATACTTATTTGTGGTTATTAATTATACAAAATATATATCAATATTTTAATATTACTTTTTTCAGTCACAAGTATGTGTAAAATCCAAGGAATAAAATGTATACAACAAGGAAGACTGGGAAATGCTCTTGCATGGGCATTAAAAGCTCAAGATGGTAGTTTTACTACATATATTGCAGATCAATTTTTAAAACATTACGCAGAAAATGGAAAACTAGAATGTCGAGATTTATTAGAAAATTTAGGTTTTTGTATGATGGCCAGTGATAGACTCACATTTTTAGGTAAATTAAACATTTTTTTTAATTAAATAATTTAAAATTATTGAAAATATAATTGATTCCTTGAAAGAAAGTAAATTTTAATTATATTTTTGAATTAGGGAAATATTGTGAATTTCATCAAATGTATGGAATTGGAGAATTTAAAGAAGCAGCAAGCTTATTAGTATCTCTTTTAGTTTCGAATTTAACACCAAAATAGTAAGTGAATTATAAATATAAAAGTATTATGTACTAAAAAATCAAAAATAGAAAACTATTCTATAAAACATTTTTGTTTCAGTTTCTGGTCAATACTTTTATCCGACGCTATTCCATTACTAGAAGCCAAAGAAGTAATTTTATCTTCCAGTGATTGCTTCGAATTGTTACGCTGTGTAGAAGCACATGGAAATGATCCGAAATTTCAAAATGAAATCGAAATTTTTCGATTGGCCGTTGCAAGAAACTTGGCCCGGGCGTTAAGTCTTGAAGGCTGTCAAGTGGAACATTAGAATGTTTATTAATATTTATAATGTAAAAGTTTTTCAACATTTTAATTAAAATATTTCATGTATGATCATTAACCTACTTGATTAAGTCGTAGTAAATCATAAGCACATATTGTAAACGTTAATTTTGATACAAAACATTGAATATGATTATATGAATTTGTAAATAAATAAATATTTTTATAAAAATAGTCATTTATATACATTATTTACAACAATTTAGAAAGATTGTACTTTAATTTGTATAAAAGAATATATTTCATATATACAGTTTCTCTTATTATACTCTACGAACATTGCTTTAGTATAATGACTGTTATTGTGACCAATATAATCCATTTCAAATGCATATAATACAATGTTAATGCGCTTTAAAACAATGAATAGTTGCGCGTAAAAATTTATTGGTTTTCACACATTCGATATGTGGACCAAGGTTTATTCTCACCTACGACTAATATGCGCAACATTAAACTATAATGGAGGAGAAATTAGTAATACAAATTTTAATAATCTTTTAAAACAAATATTATTTAAAAATATAATTTTCATATTGAAATTAAATTCTTTATTTCACGAAAATATTTTCAAGTATACTATTTAACTCGTCAAATTGCTAATAATATTTACAAACATTAATCAATAGAGAATAGAGTTTAATTACGCTTCGATAGTGTTTCTCATTATAAATGAGAATGTTCATTTTTTAAGTGCCAAATAAAAAAAAAAAAAATTTCGGCTTTATTAGGTGAAATATTTTAGGTATAAATAAAATTCATTAGATCGTTTATATTATTTTTAGAAATTGTAGTTAGGAGTTTTAAAAAATTATTACATCGTAATTTAAAAATATTATACACAATTTTACGCAGAAGACATCTTTTATCGATATTAACTAAAAGTAAACAAAAGTATTTGGTAATAACAATAACATAATAGTGTATGTATAATATAGTTAATTAATAAGAAACGTCAGAATTGACATTACATAATAACAAAAGTAATACTATTTATTTACAATGATCCGTTGTTACTGAAGCATAAAATTGTAGCTAAAGGTGCGTACAGTCGATAAAGAGATTCAACAAAATGGCGATCACTGAATGTTATGTTTAGTATCGCGATTATTTCTCATCCTGAATCCTGTACTGTCAGTTAAGTTAATTGTCAGTGCGAAAAAGAAGAACTATCAGGAAAATTTTCCACATATATAGTGAATAATAAATAACTTTAAAGAATTATTTGAATATAATTTTTATAATACCATTTTCTGATTGTTATAAGTTTTGACGTATACATATGCAAATTTTACATTAGTATACTGAATTTTAAATTTTAAACGAAATTATTATTTATTATAAATATGAAAAGCAAGTGATAATGATATTAAAGTGATAATACGTGGTAAAAATTAAAAAAAAATTTTAAACAAAATATTTTTAATGTAAAAAAAAAATAAATAAATAATCTAAGTTTTACAAATGTATATAAAAAATTTTAAATATCTAACTTCCACTTTAGATACAGTGGACATAAAATTCAGAAATAATAGTCAGATTTTTTGCATATTAGATTGTAATGAACATAAAACATTTAATTTTGATCAAATTGAAAATAAAAAATCATATGCAAAATATCATAAGAGAAGAATGTGTCAACAAAGTGAATATGTAATTATACATCAAAATAATTTTTAAAGACTTCGTAAGTACAAATATACATACATATATCTTACTATTATTTAAAATAAGAATATAGACAAGCAAGTACCCAAAAACATTTAAAATATTTATAGAACATTATGGAAGATTATACTCCCATTGATGAAGATTTCCTTGGTCGTCTATTACACCAAGCTGCTTTGTGGGATAATGCTGAATTATTGGAAGATCTTTTGCGAGGAGAACATGTACAATATATAAACAGTCAAGATTCATGGGGTAGGACACCATTACATGCTGCAGCTATTACCGAAAATTCAAGATGTTTGGATGTATTATTGTCTGCTGGAGCTAATCCAAATATTCCATGTGGACCAAGAGGTCATTATCGAACACCCTTACATATTTGTGCAGAACATGGTCATAGTTCTAATATTGAAAAACTTTTAAAATTTAATGCTGATTTAATGATCCAAGATAATAATGGTCATAAACCATTAGATATAGCTGAAAAAAATAAACAAGATGTATGTATAAATTTGCTTAAAGCAGCGGCTGAAAAATATGAATTGGCAAAGCTTGCAACACATGCTTCATTACGAGCAATATGTATTCAAGGAGATATTGTAGCAGCCAGAAATATTATTCAAGAAATTACCTCTGATCTAGAATCCATTATTAATATGGCACCTAATGGTGCAAATACTCTACTTTTTATAGCATGTGAAATGGGTCATAAGGATATAGTTCGTTTACTTTTAGATCATGGTGCAGATTGCAGGATACATCCTGTTACTAAATACTGTCCATTATATATAGCCTGTTATAATGGCAAAGTAGAAATTGTAGAACTACTACTTCGACATTTTCCTAAGCAAGTACAATCTTTAACTGTGGAAAAATGGTTACCAATTCATGCAGCAGCTATAAATGGTCATCATTTAATTGTTGATTTATTGTTGAAATTCGAATATCCACAACATACGTATCAACGTTATAAAGATTCATCTGGAGAATTTGAATATGAGATGCCATTTGATATTAATACTCAAGATGTGACAGGACAAAATGTTCTTTATATATCTAGCATGCTTGGAAATATTAAAATTGTGGAATTGCTATTAAATTACAGAGTAAAGGCAAGAAAAATCAAAGAAGAAGAAATGGGAGTAACGCAACCACTTCCCACATCAAAAAGAAAAATTTCAAGTGGAATACAAAGGTTAATGTCTAGTTTAAATTTTAGAAGTAAAACATTTGATAAAAAAGATGACAATATGATATGTCCGCTAAATTTAGATTTATATTGCAATAATGCAACTGAAACTGCTTTACACGCTGCAGTAAAAGGCAAACACACGGAAGTAGTAACGGCTTTATTAATGGGAGGTGCCGATCCTAATTTACTTGTAAAAGTTCCTTATGATCAAAATGATGCAGAAAGTAATTACTCTAGTGCATTAGTTATAGCATGCCAACAACGTGATATAAAAATTGCAGATCTTTTACTGAAGTACGGTGCTGTAGATAATACGTGTAAGGCAATTAAAATCGCTGCACAAAATCGAGACGAGCCATTAACAGCTAAACTTCTATCTATAAAGGCTTACCCTGACTCAGAATACAAAATCAATAAAAAAGCTATGACGGAATGTACTCAAACTTCTCATTTCTCGGCATTATCTTCTTTCGGAAACGTTACATATTCAACGTTATTTCCAAATACTCCAACAATGATAAACTGGCATGATCAACAATGTCGTCTGTCGCAAATACGATCACAATGGTTAACTGATGCTGTATTACATGTAAACAAAAAATTGAGCGCTAAAAACAATGATTTAGTGTTGTACGCTATTACCAGGATAGATATTTCTCATAATTCAATTACTTCCGTACCATCCACTATATTTTATTTACAAAGTTTACGACACCTAAATATGGCTCAAAATAAAATAGATACTCTGACTGCTGAACCAAAAAATTCAAAGGACAAATTATGTCCTGTCCTAGAAGAGATGTATCTACAATACAACCGATTGGAACAATTACCTGAATTTATAATGAATTTACCTAGTTTAGAAATAATGGATGTTTCAAACAATAAATTGCAGTGTCTTCCAGACAACTTATGGCGAGCACCAAAGCTGAAAGAACTAAATGCGTCATTTAATTTACTGAAAGATTTACCTAGTCAAGTGTCTCAAAATATTTCACGAAAACCACAGCGAGAAGACTGTTTAAACAATAGTCCAAGCAGTCGAAGCTTGGCAGCACAGTTTGCTATTTCACGTGAAGACTCGTTAGAGTTTGAATCTTTCACTAAAATAGCAAATGCACAAATAATTGAAATGGATCGTCCTCATGTTTGGACCAAATCTGTTCAAGTTTCGGAAAAAATTTCAGATGATAATGAAGGTGGGGCTAGATCAGTATTAGCATCCTTAAACCTGGCACATAACTTGTTCAATAGTATACCAGTAGCATTGCCATGTTTAGCTGTTAATTTGGTAAGATTGAATATGGCTTATAACTCTCTTCGGTCCATGAGCCATATTACTTCGTATCCAGCAAGTTTGAAACAGCTCGATTTATCTAATAATCAGATTTCTCGATGGCCCAGCTTACCACAAGTGGATGGTGCAGATTTGATGGAACAAGCAAATACTGCGTGTTATTCTCCTGCTACAAACGTACAATCTCCAATAGTTCCAGGCAGTAGCAGGCAAACAGCAACCTCTTTGCGCGATGTAGTTCTCATGTCGGTTTGCACGCATAGACGCCACTTGCGTTTAGAAAATTTAAGAACCTTGATCCTTGCTAATAACTCGTTAAACAGGATTCAATTAACTTCCGTTGATGACGGGGAAATGCCAAATTTAGAAGAAGAGAATATAGATAAAGACACGAAAATAACTTATTCTGGTTCGAAGTTGTACCTTCTTTTCCCTAATGTCAGTATGCTGGATGTTAGCAATAATAAATTGAAAGAAATCCCAGAAAACATTTATGAACTCAGTAATCTCTCTGTCTTGAACATAAGTAGTAATCCCGATATCGTTGAATTACCACCACAGATGGGATTATTGTCCCGTTTGTGGAATTTAAATACTCAAGGCTGCCGATTACAAGAACCTTTGAAGACTATGATTGAATCAAAAAAATATAAAACAATGGATGTTGTTGGCTATTTAAAATCAATTCTGGAGGATGCTAAACCATATGCTCGAATGAAGTTAATGATTGTGGGTATCCAAGGTATCGGTAAAACTAGTTTGCTGGAACAATTAAGACAAGAAGGCGAAGTTCCAAATAAAAAGAAAGCATCCGAGCACTGGGCGAAAAGAATGGGTAACAAAAACATCAACGCGAAGACTGCCAGAGGAACGACGATATCCACTGTCGGTGTTGACATTGGAGATTGGATTTATGAAAAAAAAGTGAGGGGTCAATCTTCTCACGGCCCAGTTTACTTTAGAACATGGGATTTTGGTGGACAAAGGGAATATTATGCAACACATCAATATTTCTTATCAAAACGTAGTTTGTATTTGGTTGTGTGGAGAATTACGGATGGTTTCAAAGGTGTATCTGAAATATTTCAGTGGTTGGTAAATATTCAGAGCAGAGCACCAAACTCACCAGTGATTATAGTTGGTACTCATTATGATATATCGTACGAACATAGTGAGGCTTTGCAACAATATATTCGCGATAAGTTCATAAATGTCGTCGATGCTGAAAAATGCGGCTTACCGAAAGTTATGGAAACTATTGAAGTAAGCTGTAAAACGAGGCATAATATAAAAATGCTGTGTAATTTGATATACGACGTTGTGTTTAGTCTGAGATCTCCTGGGAGTAAAGAATTACTACTCGAGCAGAAAGTTCCTGCCAGTTATCTTGCCTTGGAAGACGTAGTGATACAACTTGCGCATGATAAAAAGTTATCAGGTGCAGATCCAGTGTTAAAAGCTGATCAGTACTATGCAGCTGTAAATAATGAACTTCAGAAACTACATAGGTCATTTAGGGATCCTGCAGAATTACACCAAGCAACGCTTTTTCTCCATGAAAACGGTATTATTTTACATTACGACGATGCTACTCTAAAAGATTTATACTTTCTTGATCCTCAGTGGCTTTGTGACATGTTAGCACATGTAGTAACAATACGTGAAATTAATCCTTTCGCTAGATCTGGTATAATGAAACTGGACGATATTCAACACGTTTTTAAGTCATCAACGATATCATCTATTGACACGCAAGGATATATTGTTAGCTTATTAAACAAATTTGAAGTTGCATTAACATGGGATTATCGTACTTTGCTAATACCTTCCTTATTACCAACTGAAGAAGATGTTTTAAGGAATAATCAAATAATTAAAATACCGGTGAAAACACGAGGTTGGCATGTACGGTCCAAAAAAATTACTTCTCCCATGATGACATTTCAAAATTTCTCTGGAGATAAATTAACTACAGAATGTGTGTTAACATCCAGGTCACAGCCAGATTGCTCGGTTACAAGATTGCTTTTAATGTCATATTTTCCAAGTGGATTTTGGTCGAGACTTATAACTAGGATTTTAGCCGATGATGCTATTGTTGAAATTGTGATGTCGTTCTTAGCACCATTTAAAGATTTTGTCGATGATAATATTTTTACAAGTTTACTAAATACACAAGCAGAATGGGTACTTTGGCAAACAGGAATAGAACTAAGATATGCTAATATTACTTTACTACGTCTTAAGGAAGTCAATTACAGTTTTAAAAATGTACCATATGATTACAGACAATTTAAGTTTAAGCTAAAACAAGATGGCATATGGTGTACGGTAGATTTAAAAAATTCGGCAATTTTAGAGATTTGGTTTCCAGTCGATACTTTAGTAATCAAACAACCTATAATGTCAGATTCAGTTGAAGAAGAACCAATGGGCTATCAAGCAATCGTAGTTGAACCTCGTCCAGAAAGTATGCCACAATTATTAGCACTTATAGTTGATCATATTGATATTTTATTAGAAGATTGGTATCCTACATTAGGAACTCGTTTTGTCCATACATCTGAGGGTAAATTATTAGTTACTCGGTTAATACCATGTCCGCGGTGTTTATTAAATAATGGAGAAAATGAAAACGAAATTAATGATAACGATCGTTTAGCAGAAGACATTCAAAAATATTATATTAACAGAGAAAGACAAAGTCAAGATAGTTATAAGTCTGATGGTGATAGTGGCGTAGGATACGATAGTTTAACATCAAGTAGAATGCCATCTTTAGAAGGTCACCCAGATGTTGCTAAACAGAATACCCATTCAGAAAGTATTCTAGCATATTCCTGGATGGTGGAAGAATGTATTTTGTCTGCTTATAGTAATAAACCAATTAGTTGTCCTAAGCACTTTGATATACCGTTATCACATGTTGCTCCAGATATTATTTTTATGGACCTTGGGTCAAAGCACTTAATAAAATCAGAAGATATTAAATTAGGAAAACTTTTAGGTCGAGGTGCATTTGGATTTGTTTTTAAAGGTATCTGTCGTTTACCTGGAACATATCAAAAGGTCGACGTTGCAATCAAAATGTTACAACCAGTACCACCTGGTCCAAATTCAAAACAATCCGCAGTTCTTGCTTACAAAGCTGCACAAAGCAAATGGGATCGAGATCCTTTGCAATATGCTTGTAAAGCGTATTGCACTGCTAGGCAGGAGTTGAATATTTTATTAACATTAAGACATATAAATATTGTACCTTTAATTGGAATAGTAATTAGTCCATTAGCGTTAGTATTAGATTTAGCACCAGAAGGTGCATTGGATAGTGTACTAAAAAATTACAGACGCTCAGGTGCTAAATTAGATCCATATACATTACAAGCTATAATTCTTCAAGTAGCAAAGGCTGTAGAATATCTTCATCAGCAACATGTAATTTACAGGGATTTAAAATCTGAAAATGTACTAGTTTGGCAGATGCCTTTACCATTTCAAAATCACCCTGAACATCCTGTCCATGTTAAGGTAGCTGATTATGGCATATCTAGATTAACGTTACCAACTGGTGCTAAAGGATTTGGAGGAACTGAAGGATTTATGGCACCTGAAATTATTAAATATAATGGAGAAGAAGAATACACTGAAAAAGTTGATTCCTTTTCATTTGGAATGTTCATATATGAATTAATTACTTTAAGACAACCATTTGAAGGTCATGAGGCAGTTAAAGAATGTATTTTAGAAGGTGGAAGACCACCATTAACATACAGAGAAACGTTTCATCCTTGTTATGCTCTTGATTTAATGGTTATATGTTGGGCTCAAAATCCTAAAGATCGACCAACTGCAAGTCAAATAGTTTCTATTGCATCTGCACCTGAATTTACTCATCTTATAGATGTTATATTATTAACAGAGAGAACTCAAGTAACTGCTATTACTATGACAAATAAAACTATAGAAGAAAATATAAATGGAGATGAAATTTGGTTTGGACATAATAATGGTGAAGTTGATATGCTATTAGGAACACAGAAAGGATGGTTACAACATGTTAGAATTGAAACTCCAATAATACCATATGCTATGTGTGGAGTTGATGGATACATATGGATTGGTGATAATACAGGACAAGTGCATGTTTATTTGGGTAGTAATTTTGGTTGTGTTGCTAGTTATAATCTAGAACCTAATCACAGCATAGAATCTAAAGTAGTAGGTTTAATTTACTTAGAACAGTTAAAACAATTTGCAGTAGCACTGCATAGTGGAAAAGTATTTTTGTTATCAAATTCTTTCACCCAAATGAAAAAAATGGAAATTGTTAACAGTATACAGGACAATATAAAAACGTATTCTTTAGCAGCTGTTCATAAAAAAAAACGTGTATTAGAATTATGGGTTGGACAAAGCTTTGGTAAAATATCCATTTATGTTTTAAAAGACACTAGTTTAATAGACACAGTACAAATTTGTCATGTGACTGGAGAGGCAGCTGTTAAAAATTTATTTGCAACATACTTACTAAGCGCTGAAAATTCCATCTTATCATATACATACCCTGGGTGTATTGTATATCAATGGGATGTGGATACTAGGCAAATAATAAATAAATTGGATATGTCAAAGTTAGTACCTTGTTCAGAGAGTCTAAAGTCCATTTCTATTGAAGAGAACTTATCGACAGAAAAGTGCCAAGTAACAGCTCTTGAAACTTGTAGGAATCAGTTGTATATTGGTACTACTTGGGGATGTATTGTAGTGGCTGAATGTAACTCTCTTAGACCAATTACTGTTTTCAGACCATTTGAGGGTAAAGTATGTCAAATAATATCATTTAAATCAACGGATGAGAAAAAATTAGTACTGGCAACAGTTGGTCAGGGTTATAGAAGTTTAATCTCACGTTACATAGATTTTCCAATTGATAATTTAGATGTAGACGATCTTAAACATAGCATGTATGCCCTATTATGGAGATCTGAACATTGGTCAGCAGCTTAAGTATAGTTTTCTTGAATAATATAATGTTAAGAGTGCTTTATGGTGCAAAGATAAAGGGTGATATAACTGGTTGAAAATTCTATACGTCCATGGTATACTTTAGTCTCTAGGCTTTAAGCTTTCTATTTTGCCTCATATAATATTTTTTAAACTAAAAGTAAAAATATTTATTCTTTAATCTGTCCAAGTTGTACGGTGCTTGATAGCAAAATTATTTGCAAGATTCTCATTTGCAAAATAAACATAATTGAAGCAAGATATTTTGATCTTTATGTGATATAGCACAGTTTTATAATTTACAAGTACTTAGGTTTGCAAGATAATGATACACTGATTTGATAAAAGGTAGAAAAAGGGTTATTAACCTCGCAATACAGTTTAAAAATTTATTTATTGATCTCTAAAAAATCAATAAACATTTTGTATATATAATATGATTCAGTATGTATGTTTTTACTTGACATTAAGATAGAAGTATAATGAATGTAGATTACATATATTTGTGTAATTTTTGTTTCAATATCTTTTTCTGTAAAATCCAAAATTATAAAGTATTAAAAAGTAATAATAATTTCAAAATAGTTTCAGTACTCATACGGTTATTCAGTTAATGAAAAGCCAAACTTTATTATAATTATGAAAATGTAAAAATGAAGTTTTTAATAATAATTAAAATTAATAATATGTAAATGAATGTATGAAAGTTGTAAATGAAACCTATGAATGTTAATGAATGTAGTTAAGAAACATCTACTATTGGTAATTCTTCCACAGTTTCAATATTATATTTAAGAATTAGGTCCTGACCACGGTACAAAAAGTATCCTTTGAACAATTTCCCTTTTAACATGTAAGGGAACCAATATTGATCATCCGGCCACATTTGTTTAAAAGGAATATCTTTTAAGTTATACCACTTTGGTTGCATTTCTGAACAAAAAATTATATTTATATATATATATAAATGTATAATTATAATGTATTTATTGCATTTTTAAGTAGATAAGTATTAAATACAACAAAAACTATGTAAATTGTGTATCTTTAAATCTTGTGTTTTAAAATCTTTTCTTTAATTTATTTGAATACTTAATGCAATTGAAACAATAATATTATGTTACAAATGATATTCCACATAAAAAATATATAGTCAATAGTAAAGATAAATGTCTGATAAAATCTTTGAAAATTTTTTACCTTCAGATTCTATTATTTTTCCCCAATAATTATATGTCTCAAAAACATGAACTTCTAATAAGACTTCATTTCCCTCAAATTCGAATTCTAAAACACCAATTCTCTTTAAATCTTTTGCAGATAAACCACATTCTTCTTTCAGTTCACTACAAAATACAAAGACAAAATTTGAACAGTTTCATTAATTTGATTTTCTACTGTGTATTAATGTCACAAATTTAATTTATACATAGCACTTTATTTAATTACTTAAAATTGTACCTGTGTATACAAGATGATCAATGAAAAACACTATATATAATCTTTTTAAACAAAAATTTAATATTAAGTTTTAATAAAAATATGCATTTAGATATTTATTTACAGTTTCACTGGAAATAAATTTTTTATTACAAGACTTTTAATGCCTTTATTATTAGTAACAGTATAATCAAATTACAATCTAAATTATTTATGTTTTGTTAACTATCAAAAAATTTGAAAATCATCTTGCATACTGTTAAGTGAATATAAAAAATCTTTGTTAAAATTCTTCGTTATTTAATGTATCATTTATTACGAAATATAGAATGTTGTTGAATATAAAATGTATTATTCATATTAATTTATTTAAAAAAATACTACATGACATACGTTAATTATTGGTAACAAATTAGTTTAAATTATTTACCGCTCAGCTCCTTGAACAATTGTTTCTCCTGATTCCACCTTACCGCCAAAACCATTCCACTTATCTTTTCCAAATCCTCGTTTTTTTAAACCTAATAAAACTTCTGTTGGATTTCTAATGAAGACCAATGAAAAAATTTTTCTGACAGACATATTAATTTAACGTATTTGTATGTAATAAGGTGAAATTTGAGTTCTTAAAAAGTAGTTTTAAAAATAAACTTTTATTTCATATAATATAAAATCAATAATTTCGTCCGGATAAAATGAAATAGAGAAAGGAGAAACTGTTATGAAGTTATAAATTCTTACACATAAATATGAAACTTTATTAAAGGTTATACTATCGAAAAGGTATCAAATGTACTAATGGATATTTCAAATTTCCTATCCTTTAAGGGGAATCAACATTGTAACGACCCTGAAAATACACTATTTTTATGAATTTATTGACCTATATGTTACATGTAGAAAAATTATTCTTATATATGATTTATATCTTCTATGTGGTTTATAATTGGTCTTATGAAAAACGTATTTTTACTATATAACTAAAGTCTAAGACAGAGTCAGTAGTTCTGAAAAAGTATCCTGTTCAAAAATTGCGCCACTATAGTTTTACTAATCATATGCATTAGTTTTTTTTTGTTTTTTGTATTTTTTGTATTTATAAGTTTTAACAATTCCAATATCTTTATTAAGAATTATTGCACCACATTAAGACTTATAAGATCGTTAAAAAGTAAATACGAAAGATAATATATAGATAAAATATTTGTTTCTTACAGATTCGGGTTTTTAAATCATTACATACACATATATGCAGAAACACAAAAGTATGCATAAGTATTTCCATATTCCAAATTCCAATTTAACATTTTAAGAACAAATTTTATAGGTGTTACATAATCATAAAATGCAAACAAAAGATCTGATTTTTTCAATTCAGGACACTATTAATTTTTTTCTAATATATGTATACAATAAAAAGCTTTACATATTTTCACATTACAAGTAGTATAAAATTTTATTTTCTATTCTATTACATAATACATTATTTACAGTGGCCATTTTTATTTACAATAGTGGAATACGCAAATACTGTATAATATTAAATAAAAAAATAATATAAATAATAAGGATTAAGTACATATTTCAAACATAATTTAAGATTATTTTTTATTTTCCTAAATATTATTACAAATATATACAAGTTCTTCTATTTTCTTAAATTTTAATTTTTTGCATTATCATTTGGTAATGTGTCATTAATTTGGGATCTTGTTTCTTCAGTCCAAGGTTTCATTTCTTTAGTCTGAGGTTTGCTTTCTTTAATCTGAGGTTTTCTTTCTTTAGTCTGAGGTTTTATTGACTTCTCAAAAGCTGTTGTATAAATAAACAGTGCTTTATCATATATCTCTGCCTCTTCGATACCAGCCTGTAATAAATAAATTAATGTATATAATAATTACTATATGTTATGCAAAATATATACATGTATGTATAATGTATTTATAGGAGATGGAGACACTTTAAAACGATATGTACAAACAATATCGCATAACTCATTTATTTTAATGATCACAAAAAATACTTAAAATCAAAGGTGAATAGGGACATAGATTTACGCTAACAAGGGACCATCCCGAAGTGATAATTTCCGATTTTGATGAAACTTGGATATAATGTAGCTCTCGAAAAAATATCCGACACGTATTTTTTTTTAGCTGCCATCATTCATGTTAAGGGGATAAAAATAGCCCTCAAAGTGGGGGATGAGAATCACGTTTTGTGGAATATCTCGGGAACCAGTAGAGCTAGAGGGATAGTTTATACTGCAAAGTTGTGTATTTTTTAATGCGGAATCCAACTGTGCAAATGGATTTTAAAAAATCGCATTTGTTTAAATAATATATTAAAAAATGTCACTTTTTTGTTAGTTTTTCTGTTTAAAAGTTGTTGTATTTTCTCGTAATTTTTTATGTGATAAGTATACTAGTAAGTATAAAATACGGATAAAATGGAATTTTCATTTTTACATTGTAAATATAGTTAACGAAGTTGTATTTTTATCGTACCTTTGCGGGACGCAGTCCTCGAATGTATATAATCAAGTACGTAGAGAGCTTCTATGTCTTTACTAGTAACTGTATTACAGTGAACTTGACAAATTTTTTTCAAAAAGTTTCCCAGGTATAAGAGTTAGCCGGCGATGACCGCTAAGGTTTTTCCGCGCGGTCACAAGGCTTTTATTGAGAGGGCTACTGCACCCAACTTTTTTCAAGTTTTTGGCAACTGAAACCAAGCTGTTTCACGTTTATGAATATATGGGAGCTTTGAAAAGAACTGGTTTTAATATTAGTTCCTGCAATTTTTTAAAAGGCTAAACATCATAAAAGTATTAGTTCATTCAATATATTGATTGCAATAATGATATTCCACTAGAAAATGATTAAAACATAAATACTCCTGACACCACGAACACTTTATACAAATAACACTACTACACGATTGCAAGTTATGCTCGATGTGTTGGTGAAACAAAATTCTACGAGGTTTTCAAATTCTCCTAGCCTCTCGTCAACATGTATAGCTGCATCGAAACCATACATATTGGAAGAATATTGTTTATCGAGGTATTGATAATTGGTTGTGTGTGTGCGATTGAATTTTTATTATAGTATCACTGGCATCTAAATTTATATTGAAATTTAACGTTATGACCAAATCTGATACTTTTCATACGAAATTTTTCCAAGCGCGACAACTGGAAACATCTAACAGTTGAATTAAACCTGTAGCATTTTTTGGGATTTTATGATCTCAAAATTTATTCCTACTGAGGCAATACTTTCAAATTGACTGTAATACAGTTACCAGTAAAGATGTAGAAGCTCTTTACATACTTGATTATATGCATTTGAGGCCGCGTCCCGCAAAGGTACGATAAAAATGTAACTTCGTTAACTATATTTACAATGTAAAAATGAAAATTCCATTTTATCCGTATTTTATACTTACTAGTATAATTATCACATAAAAAATTACGAGAAGATACAACTTTTAAACAGAAAAACTAACAAAAAAGTGACATTTTTTAATATATTATTTAAACAAATGCGATTTTTTAAAATCCATTTGCACAGTTGAATTCCGCATTAAAAACTACACAACTCTGCAATTTAAACAATCCCTCTAGCTCTACTGGTTCCCGAGATATTCCACAAAACGTGATTCTCACCCCCCACTTTGAGGGTTATTTTCACCCCCTTAACGTGAATGATAATAAATTCTACATAGAACAATCTCAAATGTCTGCCAGTCCATTATGTATTTTTCCAAATTCCCTGATCACCGGTTCAACCCTCTATAAGACCAATCTTACTTGATTTAAAGGGAAACAATCAATTAATATTTCCATAAGTACAAATGTAGAAAAGATATTAATGCAAACACAATGTTTAAACAGAATGACATTTTTTACACAGATCAAATGTTTAAAGCGTTATATTTAAAAAAGTATTGAAATATTTTTATAAAAAATTTATGCTATATGATTTCATGTGAAATATTTAACACAACAGTATGAAATATCTGATGTATTGATTGTTTTAACAGTATACATAAAAAAAAATATTCAACCCTATTTTAAGAAAGGGGTAACCTTCATATAATTATTAACATACTGGAATATTGAAGACTATATTTTCCACAAAATCAACTAAGATTGACTTCTATTACATATTTTTGTTATCATTGAAAACAAACAAACTGCATAATGTGCCTATTTTGAGTAGATAAATTATTATATACAGGGTGTTAATAAAAGGGTTAAATACTTTCATGATAGATCATCAAACAAAAAAAAACAGTTCTGATAAACATGGATCAAATAATTTATGTATTCCAAATTTTAAATAATTTATGACTTAAGTTATAGCACTGAACTTATTTGCTTTTATTAATCAATTATAATATGTAAATAACTCAATTTATGTGAACCTTTGTAGCGAGAATTTCTTAAGATTATATAAATTATTTAGATAGATAGAAAATATTTGTGAAACAACGTAAAGAAAGTCAGAGATTTCAAAGGTTTAAAATTCTTATATATATGTGAACACATAAAAAGTTTTCTTATAATCAGTAGAACTAATAATATGATATTTAGTTATTTACACATCAGAAACAAATAAGTTAAACACTGCAATTTATATACAATATTAATTTTAACTTTGAATATAAAGTTTTTGGTAACATTTATTAAAATCTTATTTTTCTTTTATTTAATGAATTCTATCTACCCTTAACATGAGGATCATAAATCATAAGTGCACTGTATCTTAGCAAAGTTTTCTTTTTCACTTGGTCTGATCAGCATTATTCTTTTAATATTAAAATATTTAACTCTTTTTGTTCAGTACACGGTATGTTAGTAAAAGTAATATAATATTTCTAACACATTACCTTCTGAAGACTGTCACATATGTTACAGAATAATTGAGTTCGAGATATCGTGTTACTTTTCAAATCCATCATTCGAAGTGCTACATCATTATGAAATTTCCTGTAACAAATTTCATATATAAAAGAATTTTACAATTATTTATATGTAATTTATATTTAATTATATTTACGCTCTTATAGCATCTTCTTTATACAGAATATTTCGTATTGGTGTCTGAGGCGCTGGTCTATCAAATCTTGGTTCATATTTTGGTGGAAAAGCTTTATACACATCATACCATAATGGTAATTTTGTTTCTGGTAAAGCCTTGTTTTGCCATAATGCTGTTATCCTAAAATTAATAAATAATTCAAAATATTTCTTGAGATGTGATATCCAAAAATGCAATAAAAAATTTATTAATAAATTTGTGTTTTAACTATTCTAAGATGATTACATATTAACTTAAAATCTAATATATTTCTAAAGTAACACAAATATTTTTCATTTTTAGAATTAATTTAACACATTTAATATGTTATTTAAATATTTTCAAACCTTTATATAAAATATATAAAACTCTATTATACAAGGAAAATAATTTTACCTGGAAAAAATTGTTCCAATTCTTTCTGCCCTACTGTGTGCCATAGTTTATGTGTAAAATTATAAATTACAATTTTTTATTTTATTTTCTGTATAATAATAAAAACGGAGAAATACATAGGTTTAATATGAATGAAAGATAAAGCTCAAAGTTACGAGCTTGCTGTTCACCATATATTGTGTTCTTCAAGAGAAGAAACAAACTGTACATAGAAGCATAGAGTTATAAGCCGAATCATGTTTTTGTGCCATGTGCGGCGCATATAGCATTGACATTAGCAAAGAATTGATACAAGAAAAAAGAATCTACACGGTATCTGTGACTACGTTTCCATCGAGGGTCCAAATCGGGTCAGAGTCGGGTTAGAGTCGGGTTGGGGTCAGCGCTTGTACGGTGGAAACGCCAAAGGTTTAGTTGAACTCTACCCTACAAAATTTTAGGGTAGCGTTCAGTTGAGGTTCGGTGGAAACGACAAGAGTCGAGTTCGTGTTGCCAACATAACAAATCCAAATTGCATTGTGTATCACGTGCTGTATTAATATAAATTTACAGTACTTCCAATTTTGAATAAAATACTTGCAACTTCATTTAATTTACTAAATTATAAAAATTGCTGTGTACAAAAATCTGTGTACAAAATAAGTTCTATTTTCCAATATTTGTTCAAATTTGGATGCAAATAACTTTTGAGGTTAAAGTTTCAAACAAAGAAAGGGCGTTTACAGACTAAATGCGTCTTGATTGCATCGTAAGCTTAAGGCTACCGCACACGGTAATTATTTTCTAGCTTCGAACAAAAGATGAACACGCTTTTGACACAAAATTGATGAACCAATGAGTTTACTTAAATAAATAACTATCGATATCAATATAATAATTTTGTAGAAAAATGACCCTTTTGAGTCCCTGACTAAATGAGTCTCTTCTATACACTATACATAATATACGTATAGTATGCATAATTCGTAAGAGACATTTTCGAAATATTTTTTTGATCAAATGTTCACGTTTAAAAGCAATTTCGTGAGAAATAAAGTCGAAGTCGAGAAGTGAAGCCGATTTGAAATTTAGTTAGGAATTATACATAATGTAAATGGCAGAATGAGACCCTTCGGGACTCAAGCGCTATCTTTTATATTTCTAATTATTAAAAGTTGACATGAAATTAGATTCACTTGACTTAAATTTCGCGCTAGTTTTCACAACTATTAGAAAGGCTTTATTAAACATCACAGACTACGTTTCCATCGAGGGTTCAAATCGGGTCAGAGTCGGGTTAGAGTCGGGTTGGGGTCAGCGCTTGTACGGTGGAAACGCCAAAGGTTTAGTTGAACTCTACCCTACAAAATTTTAGGGTAGCGTTCAGTTGAGGTTCGGTGGAAACGACAAGAGTCGAGTTCGTGTTGCCAACATAACAAATCCAAATTGCATTGTGTATCACGTGCTGTATTAATTGGTGTAGAAGAGGTTATTATTACTTTTTGTCGGTGATCTTGTAATCTGAGAAATAATTTTTGTATGTTATTTTGATATTCTAAAATTAATATTGCTCAGCTTTACATGTCAGAATATGGTAGTTGACTTTGTGCAGTTGGTAATGTTCAACCCAACTCCAACCCCAACGTAACTCTGATCCCATGGAAACAGGCAAGGCAACTTAACTCTAACCCGACTCTAACCCGACTCTGACCCGATTTGAACCCTCGATGGAAACGTAGTCTGTGATGTTTAATAAAGCCTTTCTAATAGTTGTGAAAACTAGCGCGAAATTTAAGTCAAGTGAATCTAATTTCATGTCAACTTTTAATAATTAGAAATATAAAAGATAGCGCTTGAGTCCCGAAGGGTCTCATTCTGCCATTTACATTATGTATAATTCCTAACTAAATTTCAAATCGGCTTCACTTCTCGACTTCGACTTTATTTCTCACGAAATTGCTTTTAAACGTGAACATTTGATCAAAAAAATATTTCGAAAATGTCTCTTACGAATTATGCATACTATACGTATATTATGTATAGTGTATAGAAGAGACTCATTTAGTCAGGGACTCAAAAGGGTCATTTTTCTACAAAATTATTATATTGATATCGATAGTTATTTATTTAAGTAAACTCATTGGTTCATCAATTTTGTGTCAAAAGCGTGTTCATCTTTTGTTCGAAGCTAGAAAATAATTACCGTGTGCGGTAGCCTTAAGCTTACGATGCAATCAAGACGCATTTAGTCTGTAAACGCCCTTTCTTTGTTTGAAACTTTAACCTCAAAAGTTATTTGCATCCAAATTTGAACAAATATTGGAAAATAGAACTTATTTTGTACACAGATTTTTGTACACAGCAATTTTTATAATTTAGTAAATTAAATGAAGTTGCAAGTATTTTATTCAAAATTGGAAGTACTGTAAATTTATAAACGTGATATGTTGGAAATAAGTGAAAGTCAAATTTCTGCCATAGGTCAGGTTTTGAATGACCAAAATCGGCCGTTAAAAGAGAGATTTCGTGCATTGTTTACTTTAAAAAATATTGGTGGTGTTAAAGCAATCGAACAGATTAATAACTGTTTTAAAGATGAATCAGCCTTATTGAAACATGAACTTGCTTATTGTCTTGGTCAAATGCAAGATTCTCGTGCTATACCTATTCTAAATGAAGTACTAAAAGATATTAAACAAGAGCCAATGGTTCGTCATGAAGCAGGTATGTTATATTACGTATGAGTACTGTATATATTATAATATGTTATGCACGTGTACAAAGTATCTCAGTGTTCTCAATGTTCCTAAGGATACAAAAAGTGTCACATTAATATAGTTCCTAAAATTTGTACATTTTAAGGTATAGACATTATATCTTGTATCAAAAATTTAAGGTAGAAATTTAAGGACTAATACTACTTTTTTATAAAAAGTAAATGATTAATTAAAGCAAATAATGTTTACATTGATGGTAGCATACTTCATAGTATAATGTTTCAGTGACAGTGAATAACAATGTTGTTGTAATCGTTTATTTTAATATCATTTAACAGATATTCATTTTATATATAATGAAGTTAACAGGAACAAAAAAACACAGGAAAGCACTAACGGGAAGCTAAAAGCTCAATATCTCTGTTAATGAACTTTTGCGTAAAAAATGTCTATATCTTAAAAAGGAAGAATTTTTAAATGTATGTTCATAATATAATTCATAGTTTTTCATCCTTAGGAACATTAGAATATATTAAAGTTTGACTATATATTGAATGGAATTTATTTATTTGTATTAGGTGAAGCTTTAGGTGCAATTGGTGATCCCAGTGTTATACCATTGTTAGAAGAATATAGTAACGATTGTATACCAGAAGTAGCAGAAACTTGTCAATTAGCATTAGCCAGATTGCAATGGTTAAAATTACATAATTCAAAAAATTCAACCCATTCACAAAAAAGTCCTTATATGTCCGTGGATCCAGCACCACCAGCAGATATAACTGATGTTGAAAAATTAAGGAGCATCCTTTTAAATGAAAATATTTCCTTGTTTGAAAGGTACCAAGCAATGTTTTCATTAAGAGACTTGCATACTCGGGAAAGTATTCTTGCACTAGCAGAAGGTAAGTTTGATAAGTTTCTTTCTTAACCATTCTGATTCGATATTGACATGTTGTATTGGTATATGAAGGATCCTGCATATGATATACCTGTAAAAGTGATTCTGGCCAAATTCATTGAAATTAAGATAATATATATAAAAAATACATTAGTTAGTATATATATATACATATGCAGGTTGTGCCATAGCTGGTTGTACAACTGGAAATGGGATGATTCTACATAAAAAAATAAGTCAAAAATGTAGGATAAAATTCTTTCATATGACACTTTATTTTCGAGAAAAATAGGTTTGAAAATTTATCAAGTATGTGTACACTTGGTCTACATTTAATTTCACAAACTATGCTGTAAATTATTTTTATTATTTTCTATAAACATATACAATTTTAAGCATATACATCCATGTTTTTATACATGGAATACATCCGTAACCAAGGACATAACATGATATTTCATGTATCATACTCCCAGTTCTCTTATGCTTATTGAACAGAACATTTAATTTCCTCAAATTTATGGTAGCACACAGTAATCTAGAGTATGCTGATATGATTCTTGAATGTTCCACTTCATACTCAAAGAAATTTGATTTTCCAACAAGACGGGGCACCATCACACTATAATCACGAGGTAAGGCAGTTTTTATATAAAAATTATTGGTGTTAGACCGTGATGGCAGAATTCTTCGGCCGCCACTATCTCCCTATCTTTCACCACTGGATTTTTATTTGTGGAGTTACCTTAAGCCTATTATGTATAGTGATGACATAGTAAGTTTGGAGCAATTACGACAGAAAGTTATTATAGCGTTTGACAAATTCATTTGTAGGAATTTGATAACAAAAGTACAATTATGAATGCAACAATATGGAAATCGCTGTCAGTAATTTATGAACTGAATGAAATTACTCCAGAATATTGTGGATGTGGTTTCTATTCCCTTGAATAGAAGGGAATAAAAATAGTTTACAGCGAAGTCCATCAAGTCGAATGTAGACCAATCGTACTCGATAAATTTTCAAACCTATTTTTCTCAAAAACAAAGTCTCATATAAGACAATTTTATTCTACATTTTCGACTTATTTTTTTATGTAGATTCATCCCCTTTTCAGTTACGATACACCCAGTAGATGCTTAAATAATATGTGTATACAATATATGTATATTATATGGTGCACACTATACTATATGCACAGATATTCATGTATATGTATTTGCACACACATATGCAAACATCATGTATACACATATTTTTAAAGTATTTATATGTATATATCAATTGATATATTCTGAAACAGCATTTTTGAAGCTGCAATTTGGCTACCCTAGATCCATTTTATCTTTTATATTTTTGACTTTATATAGGTTTTTCATCAGTTGGATCTTTGTTATACATAAATACTGCATATTTGAAACGGATATTTCTCACAGGAATATTGTATGGAGGGTTTTTTATATAATATGTAACCGTATCTTTATAAAAATATATGTAGTTTATTATACAAGACTGAATATAACCAGATATAATTGGAAATTATTGTAATTAGAATAGCAAAAATGAGAGCACAGTATTATAAGTATCTTATACAATATAACCATTCATTTGTAATAAAATTTTAATTGGTTATACGAAGCATCGTATCAGAAGGGTTGAGAGTATTTACTATTTGCATTCATATTTATAATTATATCTATTTATTTATAATTAGGTTTGAAGGCAGGTAGTGCTCTGTTTAGGCATGAAATAGCTTTTGTTTTGGGACAATTGCAGGAAGAAATTACTGTTCCATATTTGGCAGCTTCTTTAGAAAATATGGAAGAAAATGAAATGGTACGGCATGAATGTGCAGAAGCATTAGGTTCCATTGCAACTTCAGATTGTTTTAATATTTTAAATAAATATATCAATGACAGTCAAAGAGTTGTACGGGAAAGTTGTATAATTGCATTAGATATGTGCGAGTATGAAAATAGTTCAGAATTTCAGTATGCAAATACATTAACCAAGGTTAATGCTTGAAACTGTATTTTTCTTAATTTGTAATGGAATAAATGAATTTTAAAGAAAAAGTTACTATTTAAAGTATAATCATTAAAAGTTTGTAATAGCTTGATTTTCATATGTAAATGAAACATGAAGGGTTATTGGGAAGAGCAATTAGAATTACAGAAAGTCAAAATTTCAATGAGGATATTTTATGAATTTTGCTCTTACTATACACAATTTAATATCAATATTTATTATCTAAAATTTAATATCTTTCTTTTTTAGAATGAGTTGTAAGTATGTTTGTGACAGTCAAGTTATAAAGTTGGGATACTGTTAAATGTTACAACTGAGATAATTGTAGTCAAAAACTTTGATTGTATAGTAGGACATTTTTGATATAATATTGATACAAAGTAAGCAGAACATCTCAGCAATATAAAATGAACGAAAGAGAAATATTTTTAGTGTTAATTATTGTACATAAACTTTTGAAGAAAAGACCACTTCCCTGTTATATAATGCTTTATTTCGAAAGCTTTTTAAAAAAATTTTAAATGATACTTTTACGTTTTAATTAAAAAATGTATCTTCAACAAATGCTATATATATATATATATATATACATGTTAAGTGTTATAAGTAGAATCTATTTTATATAAATGGAGCAATCTCTGCATAATTAATCATTTTGAAACATCATTATTTTTTAGATACTATTATTATACAGTAAAGTCTTAACATAAGAGAAAAAATGATCTTCATTAGTGAAACTCTAGAGTCTAGACCTTTCGAGGTGTCAAGAAATTTGGGGTAATCGGATGTTCCGACTCGTAGGCTGCCTCATCGTTGAATCCACTTTCATTCAGCCATTGTAACTGAAGTGGTGTTAACTTCGAGGCCATCTTCCAACCGAGCATATTCTCGGTGGGTTTTCCTGAATTAGCGTCTTCGGGGGCGATGTCCGCCGGTAAATTCCAAATTGGATCAATGTCCAAATCTTGTGTATAAGTAATATCAGACGCTATTTTTGTGGCATACACGACAAGGCACGGATAAGCCGTATACAAATAATACGTGTCATGATTTACGCGTCCAAACCATCCTATCGAACTGTCTTCAACGAATGGGACATACAGTCTATGTTTGGCACGGATCCGTACTTCTCGATGATTCAATTGCGTGTTGCCTAGTCCATTCATGAGGAAGCCCACTAGGGCAGGAACTTTATAGTTTCCATTATATATCATCCTCATGTAGGAGTCTTCGTCATTAGTTAAAGGTCGACCGGATACATCTAAGACTTTTAAAAGTCTGGCGTATGATAATGCTGCTACATAATAGCAGAACGCCGACTCCGACACCCTGCGGCTAAAGCCGTTATCTATGGCAGCTATTGACCGGTGTGTCTGCCTGGCTACTTGATCCAGTTCATAGAAACCCGGATACACGAGGACTTCAGTTGCTACTGGCCTCGCCTCTCTTCCTGGCTCAGGCAAAACCGCCTCTCGATACAGCGGATCGTTTTTCGGCGCTGTTGCGGTTGATGACTAGTAAGCCGGTCTAGGTGGAGCAACCTGCCTCCCCCCCTCTATTTTTGGAGGTCGTACGTTGGCTTGGGGCTTGGGCCGAGTCTTTGGGCCCGTCGGTCTAGGTCGAGGGTTCTCCCTCTCATCCCTACCGTCAAAACGTGTAGAGGATTCACCGAACCGTCGAGGTTCAGGTGAGCGCTCGCGCCTTGGGCCACGAACGTAAGAGCTGTTTCTAAACTCTTTTACATAATTCTTCTTCATATTGAAGTTATGTTTCCGTCCGGATACCCTTGATGTGATAAATCTCAAAAGTCGAGGGGTCGAGGGGTAACTCCACGCCAGGTCGATCACTGTCTAATGTCATTATCGTCAACTTTGTTTTAGTCGAAATATGTTGTAATCCATGTGAAATTAGAGGAGGGGAGGGCAACTTTAAGTCATCATTTTGTCGCTGTCAAATTCATTAGAATATTAAAATATGCAATTTTTGCCCATTTTGGCGAAAACAAGCTTCACCTATGAACTCCACACTGCTGCGCATTTGTTTTTGTATATTATTCCTAATATGCTGATTCATTGCATTTAAGGATTGTGCATCGTCAGTGTCTATCACACTTTTCTCTTACTTTTTAAGATTTTGACAATTTATTTTTAATTGCAAAATCTGTTTTACGTTTTGTACTAGTTTATCTACTGATAGGAAGTTCATAAGGAATGGGTGCTAATATGGAAATCGGTTCATTTGGTGTAAATCGTACGGAATAGGCATTGTTTGTTGGGGTATTATGGAAACAATTTATAAATACTTGAGAGCAGGAGTTTGTTAATGTTCTAAAAAGAGAAGTTATTAACTTGTGGAGTTTGGATTTATAGGGGATGTAAATCGTTAATATGCCCATAGCTACGTAATACGTCCATGATTTGTTTATATATAGTTTTTGTTCTTCTGTGTTCTGATAAAAATTGTATCTGGTCGTCTATTTCGTCTAATGTATTTCCTAACGTCTTCAGTTTGTGTGCATTTAGATGACAGCGGTCGCCGAGTCGAATTAGAAGAAAATCCGTTATTTTCAACATTGTCTCTTTTAGTCTATCTTTTAGTTTACTATTGTTCATGCTGCTTCGTAACGTAACGTTTAAAGAAGTATCATGGCTTTATTTTCAGGTTGTAAAATTATGTCCTCGGTAATACCCTGACAGTCAGATCGTGTAGTTAAGTGGTGTGGTTGCTGAAATTTCTACGTTTCTAGATTTTCTACCAAGGTAGATGTGTAGGAAAATCAGGAAAATGACCGAAATAGATAAAATAACGAATTATACAAGATTTAACTAACGAATGTCCTGTTTATTGCTGTGACGTGTTGCCACGTTCACAGTCAGCACAAGAATACCTCCTCGGCAAAACCTTGGCCGTGAGGACACCAACGTCACCATGGCCCTTAAAAACTATTCATTATACTCTAGCCTCATAAAACTTTCCCTTGCAACCTGGACAGCTCTCTGACGAAGCGCACATGGACGACTCTCGTCGATGCATCTATCTAAACTCTATATTTCTAACATTCGGCCATACTGACGTTAGGTCTGTCCTCAGACCTCACAATTACTTTCTCTTTTCTTCAACTAAACGCCCGTTACATTGCTTAGAACCATTTCTTGATCAAAAACATAATATCCATGTCCTGCTCAACATTCCTAACGACACTAAGACATCGTCATGTCCGTTCATCGTCACCTTTAACATTCCTGACGATACTAAGACACCGTCGTGTCCGTTCATCGTCCACCTTTGGCGCTCCTGACGACACTAAGATACCATTGTGTCCGTTCATCGTCTATCTTAATACCCTGACGATACTAAGCACCATATTGTCCGTGCATCGTCTATGATCTAACATATATCTGTATCTATGCTCAGCCCCTCTGACAGCCCTCGTGTCGCAGCGTCCAAAATCCCATCTCTTTTACGCTGCTTCTACTGCAACTCTATTCCAGCAGAGACCATTGCCGCTGCTCGATGGAGTTTGCCTGATCACCTGGCAAACGTCCCCTCTGGCACCTCAACCCTTTTCCATGTCCTTATTGCCTTAGCCCTAAGCTTTTGATGGTCTTTCTTTTGTCGACTGTAAGCAAAATCAATCAAAGATGAGATACCATACCACTACATTAAGTGTAATTACTACACGTAAGTAATAAAAGTAGATATCGCATGAACAGAAGTGGTATGAAAATTTTAAATTATTAATTGTGACATGAAATAATAGCTTTGTTTTTACTCCTTTTTCTGGTTTTGAAATCTCTATTAATAAATTTTATTATGTAATATAATCTTACTCTAATAAATAATTTTAGCAAATAAATTTTTGGAAAATTACAACAAGGATAAGAAAACTAAACAGCGGATAAAATTTGCATAACATTTGTTTGAACAATAATATTAAAATTTTCGAAAAATTTAGTATGCAATTCTGTAATGTAATTAATAAATAGTGCATTTGGTACATATACCAGATGTAGAAGTATGAAACCGGAATTTTTTTGTAAAAATTGCACGTCTGTTATTTGAAAATTATAAAAAATATTTTATTCAAAATAGTCTCCATTGGAATTTATACATTTTTCCCGCCTCTTGGGCAGGTTATGAATGCCACGTCAAAAAAATAATTCTTCCTTTGAAGCGAACCAGTTGTCGAGCCATTTTCGTACATTTTCATACGAATCGAAGTGTTGTTCGGCGAGTGCATGTCCCAATGATGCGAACAGATGGTAATCAGACGGAGACAAGTCTGGAGAATAAGCCGCATGCGCTAGTATTTCCCAATTGAACGCCTCGATCGTATCCGTGACCCGTTTTGCTGTGTGTGAGGGGGCATTATCATGAAGCAAAATGACTTTATGTTGCCTTTTTGCATATTCCGGTCGTTTTTCACGTATTGCTCGATTCAAATCGATCATTTGTTGTTGGTAGCGATCAGTGTTAACGGTTTCGCCAGGTTTTAGTAGCTCATAATATATTATACCCTTTTGATCCCACCAAACGCACAGCATTGCTTTCTTTCCAAAACGATTTGGTCTTGCAGTGGATGTTGATGGTTCGCCTGGATTCACCCATGATTTACGACGCTTAGGATTCTGAAAATATATCCACTTTTCATCACCTGTCACTATTCGATGAAGAAATGATTTTCTTTTACATCTGACGAGCAGCATTTGACAAGTGGTTTTTCGATTTTCTTGCTGTCTTTCATTCAGTTCATGTGGTACCCATTTTCCCACTTTCTGAATCTTTCCCATAGCTTTCAGATGAAGAGATACTGCTTTTTGCGTCACATTTAATTGTTCCGCGAGTTCTTGTTGAGTCTGAGTATCGTCTTCATCCAATAAGGCTTGCAAGTCCTTGTCTTCAAACTTTTTCGGTGATTTCCCACGCTCCTCGTTTCTCACGTCAAAATCACCACTTTTAAATTTTTTAAACCACTCAAAGCATTGAGTTTTGCCAAGAGCATGTTCACCGTATGCTTCGACAAGCATTCTATGCGATTCTGCAGCAGTTTTC